CATTCAGTTAGTCTGCCCTCCCCAGTTTTTTTTTTTTTTATTGAGAATACTTAAACCCCCACAAAATTACATGATTTATCCAAGATCATATGGCTCATAAGCAGCAGAGTCATTACTAAATCCATGTCTTCTGTTCTTAGGGCCAGATTCTCTCCTTTATACAGCACAGTCTGTCCATAAGCAAAGCATGGGGCATATAATTTATTCAATGCATATCTTTTAAATCACTGAAATTAAAACTTGATCTTCACATGAAGAAAACCAGTGATTTTTTAGTCTATTTTGCCATTAACAGCAACATAATATGTTTAGCAGCTATGGTGGGGATTGGGAAAGCAGGATCAAGGCACTAAGTAGGGTACATAATCATCGATTCTGGTCCCAAACTAAGAAGTGAACCATTAACTGTGAAAGTGGTCAGTGATTAAAAATGTTACTAGCAGAGGAACTCCACAGACGACCACAGAAAACCTTGGTTGGAGCTAAGAAGCATGAAATATGATTGAAAGGGGAGAAAGTGGTCCTGGGTTCACAGAGTGGAAACAGTCTCTCCAGATTCCTCCTGAGGGCTCTTCCCACACCTTCTACCTACATCTTTGAATCTCCACCACCTGGATGGCTAGGGGCCAGAGGCTGGGGGAATGTCCCAGCCCTGGCTGTTTTCAGGGCTGACCTGAGAATGGTCAGCTCTAGAAAGCAGCAGGTGCCTTGTCAATCTCCATAAGCCCCAGGAGAACATAGAACAATGGCCTTCTCAGTCTGGCAGTCCTGGCGGCTCTCCTCAAGGCCACCTCCCTTCCATTTAAGTCCCTTTTTATTGAAGCCAGTTGAATGCTGTCTTATCCGCATTAAGGGGGCTTGGGCTGCTCCTGGCTACAATTAGATTTTTATGCCACCTGGGCATAGAAGCTCACTTCATTTCCAATGGGCCACCATTCCAGTAGAGTTTTTACTTTGAAGTTCACAATTAATGTTGGGTCAGCAAACTGCGAGATGAAAGGGAGACAGCGACACTGGTACATAACAGTAAAATACTAGTTGGGTTACACAGAAAGACCAGTGCAAGAGACTTGGTGACTGATCATCAACTGGGGGAGATCTGCCCACCAGTGTCTCAGCTTAAACAACTGAAATTGTTCCTATAACTCCCCTTGCTGGCCAAAATGAAGAGTGACCCAAGGAAAAAAAAAAATCTGCATACTTCCTGCTCTCTCTGGTACCTCTCCCTCTTACTGCATATCCAAATACCTCAAGGTTAGAAGAATAAAATAGTAAGAAAAAAATCTAGTGTGAAGGGACTAAAATCGATAGCTTTATTTGCTATGTTTTTGATGGATCAGCTATTCAAGTGGGAAATGCAATGAGATAATTACTTTGATGTAAAAGAAAGTGTCCTCCCCAGTATGAACTCTGCATGCCATTCACCTTCACTTATCTCGGAAGAAAGAACGTAAGTTACGTGGGCAAGGTTTATACCCACAGCAGCACGGAATCTAGCTATTTCACAGCCATGACGCCCAGCTAATCTCAGGGTAGTGTGTGAAAAGGAATTGTATTTGTTAAATCTGGCACTAATCACGAAGATCGCAGATACAAGCGTACCATCAATTCGGTTATCTTACTGAAATGCCATTTTTCATTCACGAAGAAAATTCTCACAACTTATACCTATTAAGAAATTAAACATTTATTTATTTATTTTAAAGATTTTATTTATTTATTTGAGAGAGGGAACACAGGCAGGGGGAGTGGGAGAGGGAGAAGCAGGCTTCCCGCGGAGCAGGGAGCCCGATGCGGGGCTCAATCCCAGAACCCCGGGATCATGACCTGAGGGGAAGGCTGACCCTTCACGGACTGAGCCACCCAGGTGCCCCACACCTGCACACATTGATTCCACCGTAGACCAACAGTCTCCAACCTCGACTGGTCCCTTAGTACAGCCTGATAGTCATTCGGTATTTCCCTGCGTGGTTCTCTCTGCCATGCTTCACAGAATTCAACCTCTCTTCACGTTCCTCCAACTCTGACACAGCATACAAATCCTCCTTTCTACCCGACAGACAAGACAGTGCACTCCTTCACTACCCTGGCCAGTGGTGTGCTGGTAAATGCCTAATAACCAACTCTCTGGAGGCCTGGGGTGTGAGGAAGTTCTGATTGTAGTTTGTCAGTTTCCATGGTATAAATATTCCCACCCTGGCTGAATTCAAGCTTATAATGTATATTATCCAGTTCTCAAAATTTCTGAAAATTTAACAATTGGCTCCCATGAGCTAGTAGGAACTGGCTCCAGCACACACTGCACGAAACCCAGAAACTTAAATAGGTCCAGAACATCTTTTCCTCCTTCCCCCTCTGTTACAAAGGAAGAGATGTCTCTCTTACTCTCCCACCTAAAGTGAAAGACTTCCTCCTGTCTTCTAGAAGTATCTTTTTCCATCTATTAAAATCCATTTCTCTTGCATCTTCAGCGTCCCCCTCTTCGTTGGCTAATTTTTTGTCTTTTTGTCATTTAATTACCTAATTCTCTCCCACCCTTTTTGTTTATTTTAAGAAAACTCCATTTGATTCCACATTTCTGTCCAGCTATGTCACAGACTCATTTCTTCAAAGAATTGTTTCCACTGTCTTATCTTCAGATCACTCACCTACTTACTGGAATCTGGGTTTCCACTGAAATCTCTAAGTTCCTTGTTACTGGATTCAACAGAGAATTCTCAGTCCTTATTCTACTGATTTGTCTTCAGCATTTGACACATTTGACCACTTCCTCTCCTTGGTTTCTGGGACACAATGGTTCTCTGATTCTTCTCCTTCCTCTTGGCTCTGGTGTCCTATGCAGGCTCCTTCCTTCTGTCCTGTGCTTACTTGTTGGTGCTCCTCATGAGTTTAACCTGAGATCCCTTCTCTTTTCATTCCACTTTCCCAGGACCTCATCCTTCCAGCTTTCAATTACCATCTCTAGGTTGATGATGACTCACTGGTGCATGGCTCCAGGCTAGTCCTTCTCCTGACCTTTAGATATGTACTACCCACCAGGCATATTCATTTGGATATCTTCAGAGGCACCTCAAACTTAACATTTCTAAAGTTGAAATCTCTCCAAATCTCCTCCCCTTCTGTGCTCTCAGCTCAGTGAATGCGTCCAAGTTGCTCAGGCCAGAAACCTTGTAATAATCCTTGAATCCCTCTAATATCTCATTTCCATTAATCACAAAGTCCTGCTGATTCAACTTCAGAATATCTCTTTCATCTCTCTACCTCTCATCGTCTACAAGGTTACCAGCCTGGTTCAGTCACATTATTTCTCTACCAAGATTATCCCTCCTAACTGGTCTCCCTGTCTCCAGTCTTGCCTCATCCTCATCATTCCCCATTCTGCAGTGATCTCTCAAAAACAAATCAGATCATGTCACTTGCCTCCTTAAAAACTTTTGATGGTTCTCCATTGTTTCTGGGACAGAGACCAAACTCTAATATGATCTATGAGCCTCTGTGTGGTCTGACCCCCATTTCCGAGCCTCTCCTTTCTTCCCACCTTGTTCCCATTGATCTAAATTCTTTTCAGGTCCTAAATATGTCATGTGCTGTTTCATCTCTTTGAATATACTGTTTATTTTGTCGGGAATACCATAATTTACTTCCTGCTGCTTCCCATCCCTCTTCCTCTGACTCTTACTCATTCTTACAAGTTACTTCCTGCGTAAGTGCCACTGACCTGGGTTCTCTTCACTTCTGCAACCATTGCATTTAACACAATGATTGTTTTGCTGTCTTGTCTCCTTCATAGATGCTAATCCCCCTAAGGACAGGAACCATGTCTATGCTCTTCACCACCATATCCCCATTGATTTTAGTCAAGAAACCCCATGTCCATTAGTATCACTCCACATCTCACCCACCCTCAGTTCCTGGCAACTGCTAATCTACTTTCTGTCTCTATGGAATTCATCCCCCTCAGCAAGTTGATGGTGAGAAATATCAGCCTGGACCTACTAACTTTTAAAATAAGAATGTTAAGTTAGTGATTCATGGCAAATTATTAAACCCTCTTGTGCCTTATTTTCCTTAACTTTGAAAGGATGCCTACTCATTCAAGAACAAAGCCCATAGGATGATCTGCAGTGTTTAATAGACTGCCAATACATCACTTGACTTCCCATAAAATTTTGTATTCCTCAATTTCTTATCTCTTGTTTTGGTCAATTCACAGAATTTTCAATTTTGTGAGTGTTGGTTTCTGTTGCTAGAAGCAAAGCTTCTCATTATGCTTTGAAGACCCTCCCATTCTGCCATGGCTGGCTCCTCAGATCCCTGCTTGTGCTTAGTGTCCTCTCTGCTCTCTAAACAGGAGTTTCTTCCAATCTGATCCCAAGGAATTTGGGTTAACATTTTAAAACTTGTCTTACATACAATGTTGTATCGCTCTCATTCAAATCCGATCTTTCAATTAAGACTTTTTTAGGTTTTTAGTTTTTATTTTCAGAAATACGTAATGAAAAATAATAGTGAAAAATTATAGATATAAAAAATAATAATAGATATCATTTTAAGGGAAAAATACATCTACCATCTCCAAGAACCCCATGGCTCCTTGTGAATTGTAACTGAAGAGAAAGGCTGATTCATCCATCTGTTCCCCAAGGATCATATATAACATTAATCGAAGACTATGACGTAGCAGGAACAATGCTAAAACCTTTATTTACATTACTTTATTTAAACTCAGGGCAACCCAACAAAATAGGAAATATTGCTACCGCCCTTTTACAGGTAAGCAAACTAAAACTGAGAGATTAAATGACTCACCCAAGGTCAGACAGCCAGTAGCTGAAGATGAGGAACTTGGTTGGTCTCTGACCAACTATTAAGATGATTATCCCTCTTATTTCCTTCTCTACACAATGCTAGATGCACATAGCTAAATTGTATCTTATTTTCATTTTTGTAATAATTTCAATTACTGGGATTTAGATGCCTGGCACATAGTAGGTACTTACTAAATATCCATGGAATGAATTGATGTGTTTTCTCCTTTTTGGAACTCTAGGGTACTTACTTCCTAAAGTCAGGACCTGCAAAATAGAAGAGTCCTAGGGAACATTCAGCATGTTAACAAAAAAATTAATCAGAAATGTTCCTGTCTTGAGAGTAAGAAGTGCAAACATAATAACAAATCTCCTTTGTATATGACATTAAATTCAGTAACTTTTTCATAGCATTTGTTTAATCTTTATCAGCAGATATTCCATTTCCAACAGGTAAGAGAAGTTTGGATAAGCTTACACAGTATCTTATATTTTCAGAAAAATAGCTAAATTTAAGATGTTCTGTTCAAATGATGTAGAAAGAAATAATGAGCAAGCTTAGAACTATTTCCTTATTCAGTAGCTGATATTGGAATGTTTATTTGAAGCAGAGTAATGTCAAGGTATCAGTTCATCAGACCTCCTGAATACCTTTCCTCTACATAAATTTCAATTTGAAAGAATTTTAACAACAGTATAAACCGCATGCCCAGAGAAATGGAACAGACAGCAGAACAGAACAAAGAGGCAAAGATCAAGCACGTTTGCCAAACAGTAGGTCCCTGTGTTTGAAACAAGGTGAGGGCTTTGCAGCAATTTCATCTGAGAAGTTTTCTGTAAACCAGAGTTTGAAGTCCAAAGCACAAAACTCATTTTAGAGATGAAGTCACTGTTAAATTACTGGGGTTAAATGTATCACAGTTACGAATTCTCTATAATTAACATTGCTTATTTTCCAGAATCATACTTTATATTAATCCTCTATTAAATTCAAGTTGCTGAGAAAAAAAATTGACAATGATAAAAAGAAAAGTACATTCTCCTAAAGGAGAGTTGTTGTTGTTGTTTTTTAATTAGTTAAAAACTAGAGTTGGGGAGATTTTGCACAGAAATTGAAATATAAGTTATTTTTAGTTTTTAATAAAATGTGGAAGATTGGCTATGGGGCATTGGTGGCTCCTGAAATATTTATTTCATGTGTCAAATGCCCTTTCAGTAACTGTACCTTTCATGATCAAAAGAAAGCCTCTTCCAGCAACTACAGGTGAGAACATTTTGACGTGGCACATATACAAAAATCACATGGGGCATTGCAATTGTTTTTTGGAGAGAGTGGTGCCCAATCTTTTCTCACTCTCATTCTGGTTGAAATTTAAAATGTTTTGTTATCGGGCACCTGGGTGGCTGAGTTGGTTAAGTGACTGCCTTCAGCTCAGGTCATGATCCTGGAGTCCCGGGATCGAGTCCCGCATCGGGCTCCCTGCTCGGCGGGAAGTCTGTTTCTCCCTCTGACCCTCCTCCCTCTCATGCTCTCTGTCTCTCATTCTCTCTGTCTCAAATAAATAAATAAAATCTTAAAAAAAAAATGTTTTGTTATCAGAAGGTTTTTCCACTTGAGATTGAGAGCAGGTTGACAAGGCTGTGGAAGCAAGCCCGCCCTGCTAGGGGATGATCACTCTGTGTTTTCTTGCATCATGAAAGTTGGTGAGCGTGTCTTTCCTTGGATTCTCTGAAATGCTTTTTGGGGACACTCATTTGTTTTTGGCTTGAAAACATACTGTGGTTGTGCTTTTCAAATTGGGTACCAATGTAAGCTTTGTGATGGCAGAGATTCTCTTGTTATAGCCCCAATGTCTAGAATACTGTCTAGTATGGTGCTCGATTAATAATTATTGAATAAAAGGGAAGAGGAAGAAGGAGGAGGGAGGGAAAGAGAAGGGGGGGGGACAAAGAAGAAGAGAAGGAAGTGGAAGGGAAAAGAGTAAGATGGAAGGTAAGGAGGAAAGTAAAAAAGCAGCAGAGGTAGAAGAACTAGTAGGGGAAAGGGAATGAATGATACTACATCACAAAGAATATATATATGGTGGAGGATGTAAAGCTAAAGGACAAACATAGAGATATTTGGGGAGGACCAACTGTACAAAGAAGTGAGATGGGGAGGAGAATATTATATTAAAATAAATATAGATAGATATGTGACAGAGGAAGATGCAAATTTTGCATTAGGCAATAAACGTATTCCCTGCCTTCAGAGACTCATAGAATCTCAAGTCGGGAAGGGATCAAAGAAGTTGTTTTGTCACATCAGCCATATCTGATGCTTTACTCTAGGGTTGGCCAATTTTTTCTGAAGAGGATAAGAAATTTTAGGCTTTGAAGGGCATAGTCTCTATCACAACTGCTCCATTATGTCATTTTAGCAGGAATGGACCATACACATACACAATATGTTTTAAAAAAATGTGTATGGGGCACCTGGGTGGATCAGTCATTAAGCATCTACCTTTGGCTTGGGTCATGCTTGGGTCCTGCTCAGCAGAAAGCCTGCTTCTCCCTCTCCCACTCCCCCTGCTTGTGTTCCCTCTCTCGCTGTGTCTCTCTCTGTCAGATAAATAAATAAAATCTTGGGCGCCTGGGTGGCTCAGTTGGTTAAGCAACTGCCTTCGGCTCAGGTCATGATCCCAGGGTCCTGGGATTGAGTCCCGCATCGGGCTCTCTGCTCCTTGGGAGCCTGCTTCTCCCTCTGCCTCTCTCTCTCTGTCTCTCATGAATGAATAAATAAAATCTTTAAAATAAATAAATAAATAAATAAATAAATAAATAAATAAATAAATAAAATCTTTACAAAAAAAAATGTGCATGGCTGCATGCCAATAAAATTTTATTTTAAAAAACAGGTGGTGGGACAGATCTGGCCCGTAAGCTGTAGTTGTTGACCATACCTGCATATATTCTACAATATTCAGACAATGCTTATAACCTCTGTCTATATCAGCGTGACAGGGAACACAATTTCTTTTCAGGGAAAAACTATTCCATTTTTGTATAACTGTGGCTATAGAAAGACATTCTTTATATTGAGTAAAAAAAAAATCTGCTTTGGTGTTATTATGGACTGAATGTTTGTTTCTCCCCAAAAATTGTATATTGAAGTCTAATCTCCAGTGTGATGGTATTTGGAGGAGAGACCATCTCGAGAGACCTAGGTCATGAGGGTGGAGCCCTCATGAATGGAATTAGTGCCTGTGTAAGAAGAGGACAGGGAGGGTGCCTGGGTGGCTCAGTTGGTTGAGCGACTGCCTTTGGCTCAGGTCATGATCCTGGAGTCCTGGGATCGAGTCCCGCATCGGGCTCCCTGCTCCGCGGGGAGTCTGCTTCTCCCTCTGACCCTCCCCCCTCTCATGTGCTCTCTCTCTCTCTCAAGCTTACTGTTACACAAGCAATCAGCAGTCTGCAACCCAGATGGGGGCTTTCACCGGAACCAAACCATGCTGGGCCTTCCAGCCTCCAGACTGTGGGAAGGAAATTTCTAAGCCACCCAGTCCATGGTACTTTGTTAGAACTGCCTGAACTAAGAAATACTATCTTCGTGTTTGTTTGTTGTTGTTTAAGACACTCTAACCTAATGATTTAGTACATGATGCTTTTTTTTTTTTTTTGACAGCTTCTGCTTCTAGTCAATATGAGTAACAAGGATCTGATTTACTCTCCCACTTGAAACAACTAAAAAACTGAACAAAATGTAGGAGACAGGAGTATTCAAGATACTGACACTAGGGAACCAAGGACAGTGATCTCTGAGACATGGGAAACAAGATAAGACTCCAGTTGCCTCCAGCTTACTGCCTAGAGTAAATTTCAGGAACTCCATGAACTGGGAGCCCAAGTGGAGCCCGGCCATCTCTCTGAGTTGAGGAGATGGAGTTACAAGTCCAAGGGAGCCAAGGTCAACAGCATGCACACAGCAGAGCAGAGGATCAGAGAGACAAATCTGGAGATGTGCAGAGGGGCCCCTTTAATATTCAGCTGCGTGCTGCTCAGTGAATGTGTGTGAGGAAGTCACATAAGGCCAGGGAAAGAACCACCTGAAAAGATTATAGGAAAGAGTAAACAGTTCTTGGAACTCACCAAAGGCCAAGAGATAGTCCCTGCTTCTAACAGCCAGAGTGGAAAACTTCAGAATTCACAGATACTCTTTAGAATACTAAGACTCACTTGCCTCAGTAATGGGGGGGGGGGGGGGCGGCGGCGGATTATTCCTAGGCCAAATGCTCTTTTGGTCCTGGATAAATGAACTTTAAAGTTAGATCTGAGGGGCACCTGGGTGGCTCAGTTGGTTAAGTCCCTGCCTTCAGCTCAGGTCATGATCTCAGGGCCCTGGGATTGAGCCCCGCATGGCATCGGACTACCTGCTCAGCAGGGAGCCTGCTTCTCTCTCTCCCTCTTCTGCTCCCCCCTGCTTGTGCTCTCTCTTTCTCAAATGAGTAAGTAAATTCTTAAAAAAAAAAAAGTTAGATCTGAAGGGATCTGTTTACAATATGATTCTCCCTCTACATACACACCTATGATAAAATTTAATTTATAAATTAAGCACAGTAAGAGGTTAACAACAACAATAATAAAACAGGACAATTATAAAAATGTACTGTAATAAAAGTTATTTGAATGTGGTCTCTTTTTCAAAATATCTTATTGAACTACTCACCTTTCTTGTGATGACATGAGATGATAAAATGCCTACGTGATGGGATAAAGCAAGATGAGTGACTTAGGCACTATGATGTAGTAGTAGGCTACTATTGACCTTCTGACAATATATCAGGAGCGTCATCTGCTTCTGGACCTTGGTTGACAGAAAGAGAAACAATGGAAAAGGGGAGAGTACTGTAAATAGATGGTGAGATACCCAGCCATAGATTGTCCTTGCATTCTGACAGCATTCAATCCAGAATGAACCCTGCTTCCTTGGGCCCTACCACAAATCACCCAACCACAGCCCCAATCCTATAATAGGTCCTTTCTAACACCCTTTTAAGGAGAGGCCCTTCTTCCCACGGTGTGCATTCTCCCTCACTGCAATGAGTGATAAATCCAGCTCCTTCAACTGTTGATATGTTCTTGGTGGCTTTTGCTGGAGGGCTTTGCCAATTCACATATATTTAATGTAATCTTCATAACAAGAGCATAAGGCTGAATTTATAGATGATCTTAAGGCTTCTAGAGGTTAATTTAATTCAGAATTACAGGCAGAAAGAGGCAAATCAGGGATTTGAACACAGTCTCTTTGAATATTCCTTTACCTTGAACGACAGAAGACAGGGAGCAAGATAAAAAAGAAAATAAAGATGTTCAAAAAGAGACAAAAGATTTTTTTTTCCTCATGCTATTTAGCTGTCACTTTCATGGAGCAACATCTCCATCTTGTGATATTTTATAATGCAGGTTTTTAATTAATTGGATTTTACAACTATAGTCAATGATTCAAATGCAACCAAGATTTAAGAGAATACATTTTGCTACCATTTGCTCCATAGGCAAAATAAAATTAAGCCATTCGATTAAAAACCACAACTAATGAGATAAGAAATGTTTTTCATTGTCATCTGTGGTACTTTTTTTTTTTTTTTCCTGCGAGATGACCCCATTATATGCTTTCGCTTCAAAATAATGTCCTTTAGATGGCTGAAGATCACACAGAGTAGATTGGTTACCTCTACATGAAGAAACTTTTGGGTTACTGAGGGATTAGGGTGGGAAACTTTTCACTGAATATTCTTTTGTATTTTGTATTAAATTTAAAACCATGTAAATATATCACCAGTTCAAAACATAAGTTAAAAATTTTAAAGGTCAAAAATAAGATATACAGATATACCCCTTTACTTTTTTAAAGATAAGTAGTATCTGCAACTAAGGTACTGCAGAAAATAAAATGAATTATCTGGCTTTTCATTCATTAGTTGTAACTCAGATTCCTTAAATATGAGAATGTAGCAGCAGAAAAGAAATAAACTAGGAAGAAGACCTCAATTAAAAAATGATAAGGAGAGGCACCTGGGTGGCTCAGTCAGATAAGCATCTGACTCTTGGTCTCAGCTCAGGTCTTGATCTCAGGATTGTAAGTTCAAGCCTCATGTTGGGGTCCACTCTGGAAAAAAATGATAAGGACACAGATAGAAGAGGGGAAGAGAAACAGTTCATGCTGGAGCATGTGAGTATAGTAATGAGTATATTCCTAAATAATTATACTATCTGAATTTTAAGAAAACCTTTTCTAAGTCACTTTAAAGAGTGTAATTGAAATTTTAAGACAAAATAGCATTGGCATATGGAGCAAGTATTGTACTGACATACTTATGCTAAAATTTATTTGTTGGGGGGCACCTGGGTGGCTCAGTTGGTTAAGCATCCGACTCTTGATTTCAGCTAGGATCATGATCTCAGGGTCTGAGATCAAACCTCGAGTCAGGCTCTGTGCTCAGTGGGGAGTCTGCTGGAGATTCTTTCTCTCCCTCTCCCTCTGTCCTCCCCCTAGCTAGCACTCTCTCTCTCTCTAAAACAAACAAATAAATCTTTTTTAAAAATTATTTAACTAAACATCCTATATATTATCTGGCAACCCTAACTGTGCATCCATTAAAAAAAAAAAAAAATCATAGACAACTCACCAATTTACCAGCAGATGGCTCCCTGAATCTAGTTTAGAATAAGATAGTATACTCAAACCTGGTGAGGAGTCCTTATTGTCTCAGTTTTTGTTGTTTTGAGTGTTTGATTGTCTGGTGTGATTGTGGGGGAGTGAGAAGTTTTTATTAGTTATATAAAAGCATAAAATAACCTTTTTCACCATTTCATATGACTCTTCATGATCCTTAACTTTAGAATATGAAAAGGAAATAATAATTTAATTTTTAATATTTCTTTTATATTTGCTCAAGCATTTAAATGCTAAAGCAATATGTATAATTTCAGTGTAAAGTGACTCTGACACTTCACAAAGGAATTCCATGCCTATTAGATTATGTATTCTGAGCATTAGGTCAGGAATCTCCATATAAAACACAACTTTACCTCTTTGATGCAATCTGATTTGCTATGATATTCTAACATTGAGACATGTGTTTTGTTTTGACCCAAAACACACATCCAGAACTCCCAATGAAATCATTGATTCAGCAGAATTTTTAGACCTGCCACAATTTTACTAGCCCTTTGCCAATGCCAAAATATCTTGATGTGTTCAAGTCTAAGACTTATTTTCTAAGAAAAAGTATTCTAGAATTTTTGTCTTAAAGTCTTTTTTGTCTGATAATACTATAGCCACTCAAGCTGTCTTTTGGTTCTAATTTTTTGCATGGCTATAGTTTTCCATCCTTTCACTTTCAACCTATTTGTGTCTTTGAATCTAAAATATGTCTCTTGCAGCCAGCATGTAGTTGGATTTTTAAATCCATTCTACTATAGTTGGATTTTTAAATCCATTCCACTAACCTCTGCTTTTTAGTTGAGTATTTAATCCATTTACATTTAATGCAATTGCAGATTAGGTAGGATTTATATTTACCATTTTTCTATTTTTTTGTATGTCTTATGCCTTTGTCCTTTTATTCTTCCATTTCTGCCTTCTTTTGCTAAAATAAACTTTTGAATAGAAATTTTAAGTAGACATTGGTAAATAAATATTAAAATCGATATTTAAATATCTTTCCCCTATTGACTGCCAATCTTTCTCAGTCTTTTCTCCACTCGCTTTTTTCTTAGTAAATAAATCATAGACTTCAACATATCAAGAAACAAATATAAAAAACAAAGAGAGTTGCCTGGGGTTATACAACTAATTCATGACAACATTAGGACTAAAAAACGGGTCTTCTGATTCTATCTAGTTTCAAAGTTCCCACTACCACTGTGCCATGTAAGTGGACTGAGTTCATCAGTGACACAAGATCCTTCTAATGTCTTTCTTGCCAGTTTTGGAATTTCTTGTATTTTCTCGCTCTTGTATCAGAGGAAGCATTTTTTCTCTAACTTTTGAATTCAAATCTCTTAACAGTGTTTTTCCAACTGCAGAGCCAGCACCATCAAAGGTACGGGAGATGATATGAAGTGATATGCTGAATTAGTACTGAATAACAAATACATTTTGAGAAAGCTGCTTTATCCAAGGCTCTTTGGATCCTTCTGACAAGGAGAAAGTCTAATTTTTGTATTGGTATTTAAAACATCTCTAACGTTGCTCATCTTCTTTTTTAACTTAGAGCAGTCAACATTAAGCCTGGAGACTTGGTACACTGTTTCTAGCTAGAATTTAATAGTATTATTTTGCTTTTGTTGTGGTTATTTTCATTTATGGCAAATGATGCTGATTTTCCATTTATAGTTTTCTATTTATGTAAAACTGTGATCCTGATTTAAAAGAAAATATTGAGTAAATAGTATAAATGGTAATATATGGATATGGAAAAATAATCCACAAAGGTGGTGCTTGAATGACCAACTCTGGGAAACTACTGTGTTGGTTCAATCTATTACAATGGTTGTCTATTGTAACCTCTTTTCTCCTGGGCCACAAAAGATAGCCAAGACTGGGACAGTAAACCTCTTGAACCTCTTTCCCTGTTGCATCTCAGGTCACTCAAACTCCTCCTTTGTTGCTGTTGTCATATTTGACTTCTAAATTTCAGAGTGTTGTTTCTGAAGATGCTGTTTATGAATTGCTAAGGTCTGGACTTTTGTTCCTCCCCACTTGCCTCACCCTTCAGGACTCTGCTCCATCCCAGTTGTCTGCTGCTTCCAAACTAAGATTTTTTTCCCCTCCTCTGCAAGTGGTTATAGCTCTTTTGGTTAATCTTTGATTGGCTTGTGTTAAAGAACACACAATCATATTTTGATTTTCCCAAAGGGATCTTTGCATTATCATCTTACCATTTCCTTTTCAAGTGTGGGTTTGGGACAAGTTTCCACAGAGACTGGGCAAGAGGACACTTGAGTAATGCTACCCTCTCTGATATGCAAAGTATTCCTTCACACCAACTCTCACCCAGCATCAGAAGATGATGTTCGCCCACCTCAGAGTGAGTTTCCTGCCTTCTTGGGCATCTACCACCCTCTTCTCCTCTGGGATGGAATATTTCAGTACCTGATCATCAGTCTTCAGATGCAGCTTACCCATGAGGCCCTGTGGATCCTCAGACAAACAGGGCTCCTGATACCTGCCTTAGTGCCCCAGAATTCCTAGTTAGAAATAGCTTAGGTCCACAATAGCTTAGGTTCACTAGGTAACTTTATAAAATATAAAAGAATAAGGAAAAGAATTGTTGCAAAGAAAATAGACTATTAGACTATTATTTCTAAATGGCAATAATTATCAGTTGAGCCTTGATATTTAAAAACACAAGTTAAAATTCTTTATGTTTCATCTGCTTTTTACATTTCTATAATAAGCTTCAGTGGAACTGAGCCCAGTTTATATGCCCAGATTTTTGAAGCAATGAGAATATGTATTTTGAATACCTACTTTGCTAATATATACTGGCTACTCTGAGTCAAATGTAAGGAATGTTAATTTACAAATATTTCAAATACTCTACCCCCTGGGGAAAGAAAAATCATTCCTTTAAGTTCTTTTGGTAGAAAGCTCCAGGTAACTAACTTTTAATTTTCTACACTATCTCTGATTTAATGTTCTGATCATATTACAGAGAGTGACTTAAACAAAGACCACATTTTTTACTGCCCTGCTTTCACAACAGTTGAATCCACACACCTATCTCTATGGCGACTTTTGTACTGTGTTCCCTGAGATTTAAGTCCACAATGAGACCATTAACCAGAAGTGAGAGGTAAGGAGGATTATACACATGATTAGAGTAAATAGTAACCATGAATTCACTCACCCACAACTGTTTGCTTAAGCTTTCCTTTGGGGATATCATTAAATCTCATGTTCAATACAGTGAATTGTCTCTTACACTGATGTATCACGGAAAAATAAAAAAGCCCCTCAAATTATATTTTGAAAGACAATAGTATTTTAAGGTTTATAGCTAGCCATTGGCTCACATTTTCAGCAGATTGTTCTGTGTACTGTGTGATGCATAATAAAATGTATCATGACCCCTAAGGCATCTTCATATTTGTCATCTGTGCATGTGTGTGTGTGTGAAAGACAGTGATATTTTACTAATATCTGGGAATAAAATGATTTTACATATAATAAAAATAAAAAGAGAATAAAACTATTTAAGAGTGTGTGTTTTATGGGCTACATCATAGCAAGATGGCCGAAGGAGGGGGAATACAGTATGTTCACAAATATTTATAATAAAAATTGAAGGGTGCCAAAGTACATGTATATCTATTCATTAATTTCTTGAGGGTAAGGTGCCTGATCGTTCCCATACATTTCATCTTTACTTCCAGGGCTGAGCATAGTGCCAGATACATGGTAAGAATTTAATATTTCTTTGTTAAATTTATGGATGGAATGCATGCGTGCATGTAGAAAATGTTATGGGAGATAGAAGAGGCAACACTTGACATTCTGGGAAAAATGAAAGTGAGTGGATTAGTGGATGAAGGGGTGGTAGACAGAGGTTTGTAGCAGAGACTGCTAATTGTTCCCCAGTATCCATTCTCCCCTTCTTCCACAGCAATAGTTCCCTTGATTTCTAGCTGGATACATATGCCAACCCTCTTTGCTGCTAGGTATGCCATGTGACTAAGTTCTGGCCAAGTGATGTGTGTACTTCTCAGGTTATGTCCTTGAAAGGAATGGGCACGCCCCTTTCCTCTTAATTTCCCCAACCCCTGGCTGGCAATGGACCTGGGGGTAAGCCACCCTGGACTAAGTTGACAGGGCAAAGCCCTTACATGCTGCATAAAATAGGAGTGTGGGTCCCTGACGACTTTGTGGAGGAGAGCCCTTGTGCCAACAGGACGGAAGGCAACGGTTATTTTGAGTTTCTGTCACAGTGGCTAAATTTATATCCTAAAACAAGCATCAGGAAGGATTTATAGAGTCAATGTTTGCACTGAGTTTCCAAGATTGAGTAGGAGTTCACCAGGTGGACTCAAAATTTAAAGTAGCCAGGGCGCCTGGGTGGCTCAGTTGCTTAAGCGACTGCCTTCGGCTCAGGTCATGATCCT